GGGGGGAGGGGGGAGTAATTTAGGGAAATTCTTTAGAGATTCTCAATCTTGAATAGCTCAGTGTGAAATAGGGAAATAGCCCTAAATTTCCAATGATAAAATGGAAAAAGTTCCAATTATTGTTGTTCTGTTGTGTGTGTGTATGTATTTTTTTTTTTCTCTATATAGTATTTTATTTTGTTATTCAGAAAAATCAGTATTTTTACTAATTAAAATGCTAAGAATAATAATAATAATTAAAATACTCTTAATTCTCAAATATTTTCACAATTTCAAGCTACTGATTTTCACTTTTCTTTTTGATTTTATTGAAGAAAATATTACAATACAATCGCATAGAAATTATAAGTTTTTTTACGTATCAACATTTTTTTTTTCGGGCCTTAGAGAAATAGGTGTTGGACTTGGGCAGTACGGCCCTGTAAGCTGAATTAAAGATCCATATCCTAATTGGGCAACTATTGGGCTGTATCTCGAACCATATTGGGCCATTAATGTGAGGCCTATTGGCCCACTACAACTAAAATTCGGCTCTATATCTGATTCGGAAAGCCATGATCTCTTCGTCGTCTTCGACGCTACCCTTTCCTCTTTATTTTTCTGCCAGCAAAGCTAAAACAGCGTTGTCGTCACTTCCCGGCGGACCGTCGTCGACCACACAGTCTCGTCTCTTCTCAACGGCAGCCGGCTCTTCCCCCATATCCTTCATTGGTCCGACTCTTTCTCCCCCTGTTTAGGGATAAGTATTGGATTCAGCTAAGAAATCTCCCTGTTATTCTGGGCTCAAGGTAATCATTCACGATGCCTTCTTTCTCTATGCAGTTATTTTTCTTCTTTCTTTTTTTTCCATATTAACCATACCCTTCAAAAAAATATGTAGACTTTGCCCTATTTTTGTTGTTGATTCTCTCCAATTTCAGGTCCAAAAGGAAATATTAGATAATCAAGGGTAGGTGTTTATTGGATATCCATATAGGATTTAGAACATAGGGTCTTACAATGGAAGAGGATTTGCTCACAAGTTTGTCTATAGAGAATCATCACCCATATACACTGTTGTCCATGGATTCAATTGCAATCCCTCATGAGGAATTTGATAGAGATATGAATCGATCCGACGTTCATTCTGGACCTCCGGATATTAATCTTCCCTTGTCTGCTGAGCGTAGTCCTCCTCCACAGTTGTTGAATTCGGACTCATTTGATATGCTAGATGTTGGCCTCGGTCCTCAAGTTAGTGAATCTGATACTTCGCTTAGTGTGTCAAAGATAGGGCGTAAATGTGCCAAGAGATTGGATAGTGTATGGGGTGCTTGGTTTTTCTTTACTTACTACTTTAGGCCTGTTTTGAATGAGAAATCAAAAGCCAAGGTGATTAGGGATAGTAATGGAGTTTCTGGGTTTGATAAGTCGGATTTGGAGGTAGAGGTGTTCCTAGTTCAGCATGATATGGAGAATATGTATATGTGGGTTTTTAAGGGAAGGCCTGAAAATGCATTGGGTAAGATGCAACTGAGGAGTTACATGAATGGGCATTCGCGTCAAGGGGAACGTCCCTTTCCATTTAGTGTTGATAAGGGGTTTGTTAGATCGCATAGAATGCAGAGGAAGAATTACAGGGGTCTTTCTAATCCTCAATGTGTACATGGGATTGAGGTTGTTTCATCACCCAATCTCAAGGGTCTTGATGAAGATGAGCAAAAAAGGTGGATGGAACTTACAGGAAGGGATTTGAACTTTGCTGTCCCACCTGAAGCAAGCGAATTTTGTTCTTGGAGGAATCTTCCCAGCACAGAATTTGAGCTCGAGAGACCTCTTCCTCTTTTGAAAACTCAGCCACACTCTCATTCAAAGAAACTGCTTAATGGTTCTGGTTTGAATTTATCAACTCAGACATCCAACCACGGAAATGGTAGTGCAATGGATCTTTCCCCTATTTGTAACAAGAGAAAGAAAGACTTTTTCTCAAATGGGAATGACGAAGATTGTTCTTTGCTTATTAATCAGCCTAATGACCGGGTTCAAGATTCGAAAATTCACTGTATTGAATCACCTTGGTTAAATGAGTTTAGTGGTGTAATGAGGGATGTATATGGGCCAGTGACAGCTGCCAAGACTATTTATGAGGATGAACGGGGATATCTCATAATCATCAGTTTGCCTTTTGCTGATCTCAATCGGGTGAAAGTTACTTGGTGGAATAACCTCACACATGGAGTCGTGAAGATATCATCTGTAAGCACTGCACGTGTGCCCTTTATCAAGAGAAATGATAGAACATTCAAGCTTACTGATCCATCACCTGAGCATTGTCCTCCAGGAGAGTTCATAAGAGAAATACCTTTGCCAACCCGAATTCCAGATGATGCTCAGCTAGAAGCATATGGTGATGAAACTAGGACTGGTCTTGAGATAATTGTGCCAAAACACCGAATGGGACCAGAGGAACATGAGGTTCGTGTTTGCCTTTGCCCTCATCTTGGCTCTAATGAGCTTTGTTGTCGTAAATGAGCCATTCATTGTAGAAATGTAAAATAGTTAGTCCATTATTTTTGTACTAAAAGAAAATCAATTTAAATTTCCTGCTTATAGTTAACTTCATAACTTTTCCCCTAATTTGGTTATCTGATATTTATTCTCCTGAGTTTGCTTGTTTTCTAGCACTCAAAATGAAGTTAATAGTGTGCGTTCCTGTGTGCTTCTTTTGCTGGGTAATTTCCATTTTTTTTTTAGGCATTGCAATCAGGACTCTAAACAACTATTTGTTATTGTGAATTATGCAACTTTTGATTATTTTTTCAAACATGATTGAACTCAATTATATTTTCTAGTTTATTAAAAATTAAAATTTTCTAAACATGAAGAGTGATTTACACAGAATAAAAATTAAATAAATTTACTAATGAAGTGAATTTTATTTTATTTTCACTAAAGACACCAAATTAAATTTGTGAATAAATAAATACTAAGATGGATTCTAAAATGAATTCGTGAAATGAATCTTTTTAATAGAAATATAAGTTACGGTACAACAAAGTATGTAACCAATAACAAATTAACCAATACACCACTAGTTCATAACTACAAGCCAACAATTTAAGTGGATGTATATAATTTTCTTTTAATGGGGTGAAAAGACTTTTGTGTTATGTAAATGAGGTACATGAAGATATGTAAGAATAATGCTTTTCATTATGCAAATTAAAAAATAAAAAAGTTCACAACTACTCCAAGATATCTAGATTCTCAGTAAATTTTATGTTAGATATTTTTAAATAATTTTTGTTTTTAGCCAAAATTTTTAATAATGTTTGGTTTTTTTTTTTATGGAAATAATATTTAGTTAAATTTTAACAAAGTCATTTTGAGTCTAGTGTTTTAAATTCAGATACTAGTCATTGGATGAAAGATCCCTTCCTCATCCATTGATTAATGTCTTGTAGTTTAAATTATAAAATATCATCTTTTATTTTACTTCAAAATTGTATTTATTTGTTTTTATTCTTGAACTTGCCTGAATGTCCCCCCCTCCAAAAAAAAGGTTAAATTTCCAATTTGGTTCAAAAACTATTGTATAGACTCCCGATTTGATCCTTAAACTAAAAAAATTCATAAGTTGGTCCCTGAACTATTATACGGATCCCCAATTTAGTTCCTATTATTTACCAATTTACCTCAAGTTGGTCATTCTGTACAAAAATAGCTGATGTGTCTCGTTATTAATGTAACACATGACAATTAAGTTACTGTTTTTGCCATTAAATTATTATTTTTCGTAGTTAAATACTAAACATGTCAGTTTTTTTTTGTATGAAAGAACTAATTGGGGGCAAATTAGTAAACAGTAAAGATCAAATCGGGTTCGTACAATAGTTTAGGGACCAAATTAAGGATTTTTTTAGTTCAGAGATCAAACGAGAGTCCATACAATAGTTCAGGGAACAAATTGAGGATTTAACCAAAAAATAAAAAAGCTTGCCTGAAGATTAAAATGGAAAAAAGCAATCATGAACTGGCCCAAAGTCAAATAGCGAAAAATAAAACCTGGGCCTAACCCAATTTATGGTGAAAAAAACTAGGCCCAATTTTGTTGTCTAAATGTCTAGTATCTCGGCCCAATTGAAGGCCTAAAAGTATGTCCACTAGTTTCGCCGAACAGAACGATAGTAATTCCTTTCTAAGCATATCCGCTTCTATTCCATTTTCTCGGTGCAGCGTGACGTGGAACCACAGCATTGGTTAGAATCAGCCACTAAGGAAACGCGCGCAGTGGATCTTTTGGTGATTCATGATTCATCCGTTTGTACGAACCATGAAAATTCAGATAATTTAGAAAAAATCCATTCCACTTTCATAACTCTCTAAACTCCTCCTCTCGCTCCCGGAAACCTCAAAAATCCATGGCGAGAACTTTGATTTCATCATCGCCGTTCATCGGCACCGGACTTCCGTCGTCAATCTCTCGCCATGGCCGCAACACGCTATCTCCTCGTAGGCTCGCCACTACTACGAGAGTCAGAGTCAGCTTCAACGAAATCCCTCCGATTCACTCGTTCGACTCCTCCTCCGTCGACTTCCAAGCGATGATTAGCAAAGCCGAGAGCCTCCTCTACACACTTGCTGACGCTGCCGTTGCAGTCGATTCCGCCGCAAACGATGCTGCTCCTCAGAAGAACGGCGGTTGGTTCGGCTTTATCTCCGATTCAATGGAATCCGTTCTTAAGGTAAAACCGTCAAAGTCTTGTTGAATATTATTAACGTGAACACATGTATGTGCTGTATTTCTTGATGTGTATTTCCGGCATCAGGTGCTGAAAGGTGGACTGGAGGCTCTGCACATACCTTATGCATATGGTTTTGCGATTATATTGCTTACGGTTATTGTTAAGGTCGCCACATTTCCATTGACAAAGCAGCAGGTGAGTATATTTCTTCTATTTGTATTTATAACGGAAAATTCGATATTATGAATGCTGTTTCGCTAACAGTTAATTTGTAGGTTGAATCAACCTTAGCTATGCAAAATCTTCAACCAAAGATAAAAGCTATTCAACAAAGATATGCAGGCAATCAGGTGAGGGATATGCTTCCTTGTTTAGTTTTCTCAGTAAGGTTTGAGGCAGTGTCTTGATTGTCTATCAAGCACTACGGCCTTGCTGATTTCCTATGTCCACTTTTTCTTATTTCAGGAGAGAATACAACTTGAAACATCCCGTTTATACAGGCAGGCTGGAGTTAATCCTCTGGCTGGTATCTCTTTGACTGATTACTTGATTTGAGACTGTGTTTACATTTCATATTCACTTAATTTAGTTTCTCTTTCTCATTAGATATGTAGGTTTCTCATATCAACATTCTGTCATGTCTGTTCTATAGGTTGCTTACCTACCTTGGCTACAATTCCAGTCTGGATAGGTCTATATCAAGCTCTTTCAAATGTGGCAAATGAAGTAAGATTTTGATATGCATAACCCTTGAGAGTGATGTTGATGGGAAAAATCTTTTAGACCCAAATCCAGTTGATGATAGCTGATGTTGTGAAAATTTTTACCTTAAGGGACTGTTGACAGAGGGTTTCTTTTGGATCCCTTCTTTGGGTGGACCAACTACTATTGCTGCTCGACAAAGTGGAGCAGGCATTTCTTGGCTTATTCCATTTGTGGTAACAAACTTGCTTCCCAGACTTTTGAATCCGAAAAATTGAGTTGCTGCTCTAATGTATGGTCAAATTTTAAAGCTGTTTCTCTTCATGGAATTCCTATCATGCTCTGATCAGTGATAATATGCTGAACTTTTTGTGATCTAGTCACTATGTGTTTTACAATTTCCCTTCGAAGTTACCTTTGTGAAGCACAGTTTTGGCAGAGAGACGGGCAGATCTGTTATTCCTTAAAATAATTTGCCTTGCAATTTTTAGATGTTTAGATGCCAAATTTTATGTTAATGTTCCATTTGGGGTTGACTGAAAAACCAAATATCACTCTCTTCTTTCTATTCCTCACACTTTTAAAAAGGATGTATTACCTAGCAGCTCTAAGAATGCAGATAAGTCTTTTTTGAAGACTGAGAATTTAGATTTACCTGCATAGATCATGTGCAAGCTTGTTTACTTCATGGATGAGTAAATGCATATATGTGCAGTGAGCATTCGCAACGATACGAATTGGATGCATTTAATATAATTGAGATAATACTTAAGATGGCAAATTACGGCTACCATAGCTGAGTTTGTTTGATTATACAATGAATTTTGTTTTTGGCCGTTACTAGACTGAGATTGATCTCTATTCCCTTTCTTAGGTTAATATATCTCATATGGATAATCTAACATATGATCCATCATGCAGGATGGTCATCCACCATTAGGTTGGCATGATACTGCTGCCTACCTTGTTTTGCCAGTTCTACTTGTTGTTTCTCAATATGTATCAATGGAGCTCATGAAGCCTCCCCAGGTAAGAAGGATGAGACTTCAAGTAGATTCTCGTTTTGTTCACAATTTGTGAAGCTGTTTTTTAAAATTTCTTTTCCTGATATATTTTTTATGCTGTTTGAAACCGTCTTTTTTAATTTTTTGACAGACAGATGATCCTGCCCAAAAGAATACACTTCTTGTTTTCAAGTTCCTTCCCCTCATGATTGGTTACTTTTCCTTGTCTGTTCCATCAGGATTATCAATTTACTGGTTGGTTTCTCCTCTGCAGTTGCACTAAAATGAATAGAGTTGACGAATGTGTTGTACATGATATTTTCATATCAACCGTGCTCATTTTATCTTTTCATGTCATATTTAAATTTTCATATAAAACACTAATGGTCTCAACTTCATTCCACTTGGTTTCCTCTGGGTTATCTAGAAGTACCACAGTTACATAGCTTGCATCTAAATCATTATTAGTATTCATCTGACATAGCAATGTGCTGGATTATGCATTTGAATCTGGCTTGTGAAATTAGCTCTTAGACATCATTACATGCCATACGTACATGTTGTCTCTTAAGCTACATATAGTGGATCTCAGTTTAGATGCTCAGAAGAGGCTCAGTCCATAATTGATTTATCGAGGTTTCCCATGTTATTTTCAGGTTCACAAACAATATCCTCAGTACAGCTCAACAGGTATGGCTGCGCAAATTAGGTGGTGCAAAACCTATTGTTAATGAGAGTGCAAGTGGAATTATTACTGCTGGTCGTGCAAAACGATCAGCTGCTCAGCCAGCACAGGTGGGTGAAAGGTCAGCAACTCAGTATTTTGCTTCTTTGAGGTTGTATGTAATTTTATTGTTGCTTCAAGATGTTACTGAAAAATAATTGGCAATCTAACAGGTTCAAGCAAATAAAAGAAGAAGAGAAGAGGAAGAAATCGACCAAGGCACTCCCTGCAGAAGAAGTTCAGACCTTGGATTCTGCATCTGATTCTGATGAGGACTTGGGTGAAGAGGCTAAGGACAAGGTAGATTTTAGATTTTTGTGACTACATTCTGGTTAGAATATCTAAAGGACAGACCTCTAAATCTTCTCCTGAGTTTAAATTCATCATATATTCAATTTCATTGTGAATGAGAGAAGTTAATATGCAATCTCTGCTTTTATTTTGTGATCATGATAAATATGCTGTGGAGCCACATTGCAATTAAATACTAGATACAGTGCTTTAATTCTTGGAGTTGCTGTAAAATTTTCATTTTGAAAAGGGTAGTAATTGCTTGTTCAGACTCTTTGGGCTTGTTGATAGTAGTCAATGAGAGTTCTTGTGGGACCACAGAGTGGAATTTTTCATTCTTTCTTGCAAATTGAATCATTCCATGTGATAAGTTAGCTGGTACTCTTCTTCTGTCTATGTGCATGCATCTTGTGGAACCTTGAATGAGGAACTACAATAAAGAAGCAAATGATGAGACACTCAAAAAGCTAGTAATATTTGGCAGAGCTAAATTCAGGTTACTGCCACATGTTTTGTGTAGCATGATCATGTCCTCCATTTTCTTAACTCTGAGGTGGCACTAGTGAGTTCCACCCCTGAGAATTTGAAATTTAATTGAACTATATCCAAAATCAAGCATTTTCTTGTGTGGGAAAATGTATTTTTGGGATGGACATGCTGTCTTAGCACAAGGCTTTGCAGGTGAAGGGACATTAGCTGGTATTTGTTTATATTGATTATCTATTATAAAATCTTTTGCAGATGGTCTAATTTAATTTCAAAACAATGTGTTCTTGTCATATTCACCTTTTTTTTTTTTTTATAGTACTTGTCATATCAACTTGAGCATTAAAGATATCTGCAAAGGAATTTTGGGTTTTCAGATATAATCATAATGAAGAAGTTCATTGCATAGTTATTATTGACTGAGAGGTTTACCTTCTTTTCCATTTATATTTGAGTGGCATAGACAACTGTAGTCATGATGCATAGTTGGAAGCTGCTCTTAAAAGAGTGTATATTTTGGATTGGATTGATGTAAATACCCCCCTTTCCCCTGTGTAACAACCCTAAAATTGGTTACTAACTTGGAGTTTCTGACAGGGTGAGGAGGTCCTGGAAGAGGCATATGCTTCCACTGTAAACCAAAAGGTACCTGACATTTCTCGGCCAAGAAAAAGCAAAAGATCAAAGCGGAAGCGTGCTGTATAAAATTATACTGAAGGATCTGTAGTTTACGGTGAGTCCTGTATATCGAGAAAATGTATTTCTAGTTAAAATATGAAGGCTATTTTTAAGTTGGCTAATCCATTTTCATGGAAAATATCTGATGAGAAACTCCTAAATTTCACACAATATAGGAGGCGATCATTTTTTATATTACTGTACACCCTGACATTTCTGTCCAGTAATGAAATGGCAAATTAGCTGTTTGCCTTCCAAGCCTCATTCCTGAGAAATTTTATTGTCAGTTTGTAGGAATTTTGTGTTTCAATCTTTCTGTTGAATAATTTACCTTACAAATCAATTCTAGTTTACACTCTATTATTATACATATGGAGATCATCATGCAGCTCTCAGAGTTACATATTTCTGCAAGTTACTTTTTTCCCAAATAGAGATTGGTCAGTGCTCACCTTCACTTTATTTCATAATATGAAAAAGAGACATGATCATTTCTCTGTACTATGGAACTATGTTGACAAAGCACTTGGCTTTTCTTCTGAGTTACAACTTACAAGGAACAGAAACCTTCTTTTGTAGAATATTTTTAGAAAGGGTTAATATGCAATATTCTGCCTCTTTTGTCTCTTCCCTTCCTTTTTAAGGACTTTGGGAGATTTAACATCTCTGAAAAATTTTACTTGAGAATAAACATGCCCCATAGAATTCTTTCTGACACATGAATCTATGATGTGGGGCTGGAGAGAAGAATAGATAAAAGAGGGAGAAATAGAGAAAGAGAGGAAATGAGAGGGAAATCACAAGAACCAGGGAGAAAAACCGTGGAACTGGTTAGAGAAAACAATCAAAACATAAGAAAAACAAGGAGGAAACTTAATACTCATTTAACTCTAAAATCATAACATCTCATAAACCTAAATCGTAATATGTTTCCGTAGCGTAAAATCCTAGTCACTAAGCACTCCTAACAAGACTCAGTATCCCTAATTAAATTCTGTAAGGAATAGGAAATTAATAGCAGAACTAACTTAAACAATGAGGATTACATAATAACGTACTGGAACACTTCCGACCTTCAACTGAAAGCATTTTTATTACTGCACTCCACCTAACTAGTATACATGGCAGGTGCATTCCTTGTGTTATTGCCTAGAAGGTGGGTGTTGATTCCCCACTGGATTAGGGGCAGATGGACGACCTTTACTGCTCCTCTTCATCCCAACCTGTTCCCCCACCATTGCAAAGATGCAAGGAGTTTGGCATAGGCTTGATTATAATATTTTTAAATTTGCTAAAATTAATGGAAAAAAGAACCAAAAAGACACTATATTTGGTACTTACCCAAGTAGGCACTGCATTTCTGCTCTCCGCCCTTGATATGAGCCTTCTGGGTCCTAGGATTGACTGAACTGTTGGCAGGAAGTGGAAAACGATAATTGCGTTAGCATATTCATAAAACACAATAGTCAGTTTTTTTTTTTTTTTTCCCTCAGAAGATATCTTGCATTGTAAATACCTTTTTCAACCCAGGTGCATGTTTTTATTTGTTGCTTTGCTTCCTTGTGCGTTATTGGTTTGTTTCACTTGGTATTGTTATTACTGATCATCAGAATTTTAGTTCTATTTTCTCAATCTAAGTACATGATTACTAACATAGGGTTTGAAACTGGATAGCTGCATGTGTAATATGAATGCATGTTAAGTTTATGTGTGTGTGTTTTTGTGTGAAAGAGAGAGAGGCTTGCCTGGATCAATAGCCTGAATATCAATTTTGTATGAGTCTTGAAGTTGGGAAACTGCAAGCAGGAGCCATGCTAGGAGAAGAAAGAGTAGAACGCAAGCCTTCATCTTAGGGGGGAGAAGGTGCATTCTGCATGCTTTGTTATTCTGGAGTGCGTTTACAAGCATGGAGAAGCGTTTTTATCAGGTAAATCTCCTGTAATCATAGCTGAACTTGAAAAAAATTGAGGGGATGTTTGCTAAAGGTGCTTGGGAATCCTATGTCATTGCATACTGGATAATAAGGTCAGGAATCTGTTCCTCATTGTGTATTGACTTCTTCAGTGTTATCATTTCTCAGTTATCATTACATCCATGATAAATTTAATAAGTACATAAAATTGTTGCTTTTGAGTGCTTGAGGCCTAGCTGTTGGCATGGTTCCTGGGACCGGCCAATCCATGTGCTGGGAGTTGCTCATATATGCCAAAATTTTTTCTTTTATGTCTGAATTTAGTGGAAACAAGACAACTTGAGTTATTAATGCTTATCATCTGTTCTACAAGAAAGTAGTTGGAAAATGAAGATATTCTTTCTGAATTTCCTTTTGTTATTATTATTATGTCGAAATTACTATTTACCTTGTTTTACAGGAAATTGACAATAGCTGCACTATTAATTATAATCGATCATGTAAGGGAAGGTAATATCCGACCTCAATACAGGTTCATTAGAAGTGACTGCACTTGATGCTTTATAAATGCGTGAATCTTCTGTTGTAGTATACCCTATAGTTGCTCTTTCGCATGCATTCTGTCATGACTCACAGAGCAACTCATGTAGAAAATCCTCAAAAAATTCTCTTCTTAAATAAATGTCTTGAAAAGCTTAGAAATCAAAACTTAGAATATAAAAACTAATAAAGCTCCAGTTTTAAAGGAAGAAACATAATGATTAACGTTTTGACTTGTACAAACTATTATTAATATCTGCTTTTAAGGATTCAAAATCATATATGATTGTTGCTGCACTTGATTGCATACGGATTGATTTGACTTGTGTAAACTTTTTTTTTTTTTTCTGGGGGTCAAAATGTGAACATAACTTTTCAACGTACAAAATCATTATGAAAAATAAACTAGTAGTAACTTCTAGACAAAAACACGCGTGGCCCAACTTATAAGATATGATTATTTTTGGAGAAAGTTACAGAGTTGCATAATTAGGATCTTGTTAATCATTGGATTAAAGGGTCAAAACCAAATGCTTTAATAGTAAAGGCGAGGATTAATCTTAAGAGATAACACAATTAATTAAGAGCTTGACATTTTAAATTAA